CCAGGTGTCGACTGGCATTGGGGGCAATAGGCAAGGGAAGATGGGGGGGGAGGGAGCGCTCCTTGCCTCCTTCCACGGAAAACTGCTGGGAGAGACGATGGGGTTGGCAGGGCCAACCCTGTGAGAACCTCGACGACGCTCGCCCAGAACGGGTTGTACAAGCCTATTGCGCACGCTACCGTGTGCCTCTAGAACGGACAGACTGTGTATGGAGGCCCTGTTTTGCTTTCAGCATGCTTCCAGCATGCCTCATTTCCGGCCTTCTTTGATGTTTTCCAACCCGTCTGGTGTTGAGACGGAGCGAGGCGAAGGTGCAAAGACTGTATTGCACACGGTACTGGTTCCGGGGCGTTTCTTCCTAATGGTATGCCTGGCTGACCTCACCCTCTTTCTCTCGCTCTCTCTCTCTTTGGGTGTGATCGGGTGGCGATTCTTACGACGGGCGGATTGATAATGCCACAGTGCAGACTCGTTGCGACATCCGGATGAATTTTATCCTCTCCTCCCCTCCTCCGTCACGCAACAACGGTCGTATTAATCAGCCTCAAACCGACGAACTCTCTCTCGCTCTCTCACCTCTTCTACTCCATGCCGAGAGATCCCCCCTATGCCTCCCGACTCGACGACTCGACGGCTTGTCTGTGCCCGCCATCGCGTGGGAAACACTCCCTGCGCGTGGCGCGTTCATGAGCCCGGACCCTGCTTGGTACTGTGCTGGGGTGACGTGACCTATTTGCCCGCTCCGCCTGTGGGCGGTAGGGGTCCTTTCACCTGTGCTGCAAGACTGGTTGGGGAGGCACGTCTTCTCCTCGATCGCATCGAAGACGGCGAGTCCCAAGTCGCAATGAACAAGTCTCGTACAGGCATGTTCACTCTTCCATCATGTCGCTGTCTCCTCTGCACTCCTTCCTGCCCTCTGACACCTGCCAAATACCTGGTCCAATACTGGAGTCACTGGAGGGTTGTACTTGGAGGGGTCAAAATGACGGGTGCCCCCCTTCCAGTGTCTTCGTCATTCCACGTCTGTGACAGGGATTCAGCAATGCAGACGGCCGATGTCTGTCCCACTAGGGTGGAGATCTTGGACCATGGACGTCGCTACTTGAGCTGCTAACCTCCAACAGGGGAAAACCCC